ATCCCATAACCATTATGTCAGAATATGAAACAATTATTTGAAGCTTTACTACACCTATTTTAATCTAAATTCAGTCACTTGCCCTAATCTGCCTTTGCTTAAATTCATCTGGCTTGAACAAAGAACAACTTTTGTAAAAAAGATTTTATTATAGGAAGGAAGGTGAATAGGTAAAAAGTATAGATAATTTTTAGGGGGGTGTAAGTGCTCTGTATGACACTTTAATGAAGCACACATGTCATTATATATTTTTTTCAAACTCATAGAATGTTCAACACTACTAAGAGTAATCCCTAGTGTAAACTATGGACTATGGATTTTGAATGATTATGGTATGTCAATGTAGGTTCATCAATTGTAACAAGTGTTCCACTTTGGTGGAGGATGTTGGTAATTGAGGAGCTTATGCATGTGTAGGAACAGGAGGTACATGTGAAGTCTCTGTACCTTCTTCTCGATTTTGCTATGAACCTAAACCCACTCTAAAAAGTCATTTAAAAATAAAAAGAAACCATATGCAGTATAAACAGAAATATCTCTAAAGGAACAATTATCAGAATATTAGTAGTTGTGTCCTAACCAGTGTGGCTCAGTTGGTTGGAGCATTATCCCATGCACTGAAGGGTCACAGGTTCAATTCCGGGTTGGGGAATATACCCAGGTAGCAGGTCTGATCCCTGGTCAAGGTGCATACGGAATGCAACCAATTGAGGTTTCTCACATGAATGTTTCTCTCTCTCTCTAAAATCACTGGAGCAATATCCTTAAGTGATATTTATATGTTATATAATACCAGTTTCCATATACAACTCTCTCTCTCTTTCTCGCTCTCTCTTTCTATATATATATAGACTAGAGGCCCAGTGCACAAAAATTTGTGCACTCAGGGAGGAGGGGGGTCCCTCAGCCTGGCTTGTGCCCTCTCACAGTCTGGGACCCCTCGGGAGATAACGCCTGCTGGCTTAGGCCTGCTCCTGGGTGGCAGAGGGCAGGCCCAATCCCTAGGTGCAGCCCCTGGTCGGGCTCAGAGCAGGGCCGATTGGGGAGTTGGGGCGCCGCCCCCTGTCATGCACAGAGCAGGGCCGATTGGGAGGTTGTGATGCCACCCTCAGTCATGCTCAGGGTAGGGCTGATTGGGGGGTTGGGGCACCATCCCCTGTCACACTCAAGGCAGGGTCGATGGGGAGGTTGCAGCACCACCCCCTGTCACCCACAGAGCAGGGCCGATCAGGGGGTTGGGGCACCACCATTCTCACACTCAGGGCAGGGTAGATGGGGAGGTTATGGCTCTACCCTGTCACACACAGAGCAGGGCCCGTGGGGGGGGGGGGCAGTTGGGGCGCCTCACCCTGTCACACACAGAGCCGCAGGGCGATCAGGGGGTTTGGGTGCTGCCCCCTGTCACGCTGATCCCGGTGCTGGGAGACCTCGTGGCTCCGCTGATCCCGGTGCTGGGAGGCATATTACCCTTTCACTATATAGGGTAGAGGCCTGGTGCACGGGTGGGTGCCAGCTGGTTTACCCTGAAGGGTGTCCTGGATCAGGGTGGGGGTCCCCACTGGGGTGCCTGGACACCCTGGGTGAGGGGATGATGGCTGTTTGCAACTGGTCACACACCCTTGAAGGTGGGGGTCCCCACTGGGGTGCCTGGCCAGTCTGGGTGAGGGGCTGAGGGCTCTTTTCAGGCTGGGGGTGACTGAAGCTCCCAACTGCTCCTTTTTTTATTTTATTTTTTATTTTTATTCTGGGCCAGCTTTAGCTTTGAGGCTTGGCTCCAGCTCTTAGGCCTCCGCTGCTGAAAGTAGGTTTCTGGTCTTTGCTTACAATGTTGCGATCCTGCTGGCTGAAGCCCGGCCGGTGGACTAAAGCAGGTTTCTGGGGTTTTGTTTAGCTTCTATATTTGTTACATAGTTGCTTAGAGTTGCAGCTCAGAGGTCTGCAGCAGCAGGCGGGGAACGTTGGAGTCCTCCGTCACTGAAGCAAGCAAGCCTCATGTTAGTTTCAAGCTGCCTGGCTGCCGGCTGCCATCTTGGCTGGCAGTTAATTTGCATATTGCCCTGATTAGCCAATGGGAAGGGTAGCGGTCATATGCTAATTACCATGTTTCTCTTTTATTAGATAGGATATATATATTTCTTATCATGGCTCTCTTCTTCAATTTCTTCAATAGTTTTCTTCCCCTCAAATCCTAAATGCTTGAATATTTCTGTGAGAAATAAAATATATATAACCAAAGTCAAAAGCTTAAATGATTTAATTATTATACAATTAATAAAGATAAATTATTACTCCCCCACAAAAAAAGATTTTATTATAATGGATAATTCCTGTTACTGAAAGGTTTATCTATGTCATTTCCTATATTAGAATGTATAGGAATGTCAGATCTCATGCTAGTCTATCGTGTCAAAAAGGACACATTATTTGTTTTATTGAGAAATGTATTTACTATTCAAAGTATATTTATTAGGTTGCTATATACGATTAGTAAAAATGTTTGTCAATATTCAAAATTAGTATTTCCATAAATTTTCTCTTTGATCTTAAAATATGTACTTTTCAAGGAATGGTTTTAATTCAGTGTTGATCAGACATAAATATTAAGACAACTCAAATATGTGCACTCATCATTTGAGGTATAGATGTTTTTCCTTTTAAATAGTAATAAGAATACCATTTTATTATTTCACACTTTCTTTGTTGCTTAGGTTTTATACACTTGTTTGTGAAATGATGAACATAAACACATGCTCATATGTTTCATCTCATTCTCTAATGAAGACACAGAAAGAGCTGCAATGTCTTGTATTGACACTTATGTACAGATCACTGGATAATTACTAACAAGATACTGTGGCATCATCATAATTGTAAATTTCTGAAATATCTCAAATTATTTTGAATACAGTTAAGTAAAATCTTTGGTAATTAGCATAGCCTCATATAGAACTATATGGGGAGTGGTGGGTACTAGTGGGTTCCAAGATATGAAGTCTTATTAAATTAAGAATTCTTGCAAATAAAATATCACTAAATGTTCTTCTGGTTATAGTCCATGGTGTACATTGCAGCAGAACACTAGAGAACAGAATCTATCTTTGAGACAAAACAAGTGCCCTTCCAAAGGAATGGAGAGAATACAGTAGGACTAAAAGTCCTTTTGCAGACATGATGTCTCCATCATTTGGTCTTTTCCTCTAGGTGCAGAATAGCATGTTTGAATTATCAGTCTGCTCCTTTCAGCGTGTCAATGTGGTCACTGTGAAAGCTCTGTATAAAGAGAGTAGAGGTCCAGTGCATGAAAATTCATGCACTGGAGTGGGGTCCCTTAGCCTGGCCTGCCCCCTCTCACAGTCCAGGAGCCCTCAGGGTGGGAGGCAACCCAGAGATCAGGGGAAGGTTATGCCCCATCACACCTCAGCTGCTGCAACTGCTGGCAGCACAAGCCTCGGCTGGCCCTGGTTACCTGAGCCTCAGGTGGTCCTGGGTGGCTAGGCAGCTGCCATCCAAGGTTTGCCTGCATCTCGGGCTGGCCCTGGGTGGCTGGGGGACTGGGGGATTCTGAAGGCAGGCACGTGGCAAGGCTGAAGGGACTGGGCACTGCCATCTTGTCACGGCTGTGGGCACTGCCATCTTTGAGGGTGGGGCAGTCAATTAGCATATTCCGTCCTTATTGGCTGTGTGCAGCACCATCTTTGTGATGGCATGAGGGTCAATTAGCACATTCCCTCTTTATTAGATAGGATACCTATCAAAAAGATCCCCAATAATATCTGTTAATAAAGAAAAAACGTGTATTAATGATTTTTAGCCCATTTCCTTAAGATAATTTTAGAAGCATAATTGAAATGAGCATTATCAAAGCAATATTCATCTATCTATCTATCATCTATCTATCTATCTATCTATCTATCTATCTATCTATCTATCTATCTATTTACCTGGATAAATATACAACCAGCTTTATTTGATACTAGAGACCCGGTGCACAAAATTCATGCATGGGGGTGGGGGTTGTTCCTCATCCCAGCCTGCACCCTCTCCAATCTGAGACCCCTCAAGAGATGTCTGACTGCTCGTTTAGGTCCACTAAACACAATCCAGGACTGCTGGCTCCCAATTGCTCTCCTGCCTGCCTGCCTGATTACCCCTACTCACTTCTGCCTGCCAGCCTCATCACCCCCTAACCATTCCCCTGCCAACCTGATCGACACCTAACTGCTCCCCTGCTGGCCCGATTGCCCCTAACTGCCCTCCCCTGCTGGCCTGGTCACCCCTATCTTCCCTCCTTTACCAGACTGGTCACCCCTAACTGCCCTCCCCTGCAGGCCTGGTCCCCCCAACTACCTTCCCCTCCAGGCCTGGTCCCGCTCAACTGCCCTCCTCTGCTGGCCATCTTGTGTCCACATGGGGCTGGCCATCTTGTGTGTTGGAGTGATGGTCAATTTGCATATTACCTCTTTATTATATAGGATTCTTCATTGATTTTAAATGAAAACATTTATTTAGAGCCACACATTTGTCCCTGAAATTGTACTAGCTTGGTTAAGTACTGGATAATTTTAATGGTCAAACTTTTTGAAAAGTTGATTTTGATTTTCAGGGGATAGGGAAAGGATCCTAAAATTTTCAACACATGTCATCAGACAGCTTTTTGTGATATGACCTTTATGGAAGCATTATTTGAAAATAAGGACCAGACTAAAAAACTTCTATATAAGAAAAGAAACAGTCAAAAATGAAAAGGCAACCTACAGAATGGGAGAACACATTTGTCACACATATATTGGGTAAGGGTTTAGTATCCACAGTATATGAATAATGCATAAAATTATGTAAAAAATATATATAATGAAAATAAGACAAAGGGACTAAAGAAACATGTTTCCAAAGAAGACATCCTAATGGCCAACAGGTACATGAAAAGATATTCAGTATCACTAATCATCAACAAAGTACCAAACAAAACCACTATCAGATGTTACCTCACACCCGTTAGAATGGCTGCATTAAGAAGACAAGAAATAACAAGTATTGACAAGAATGTGGAGGTAAGGGAACCTTTGTACACTGTTGGTGAGAATGTAAATTGATTCAGCTACAACGGAAAACAGTATGGAAGTTCCTCAAAAAATTAAAAATACAACTAACTACCATATAATCCAGCAATTCTCATTGCTCTTTATCCTCAAATGCCATGTCAGAAAAGCCCTAATGTAATACCAACTTCTGGTACTCATTCCTTTTCGGCTCTTCCCCTTGGATGTGGGTGGAATCTGTGGTTATTTCTAACTAGGTGATAGGGCAATGATGGAAGGGCAATCCCATGATCATGCTAAATATGTACATTTTAATATTGGCAGTAGATTAACTTGTATTATAGACTTTCTCCCTTGCCAGTTTTGTAGAAACAATATGCTTTGTCATGAGAGTGCCTAGGGAGAGGCTATGAGGCAAAACACATACATACATACACACACACACACACACACACACACACACACACACACACACAACAAAACAAAACAAAACAACAACCTGGTGGTTTCTGATTGCTGAAGACGCCTTCTAGGTCCAGAGAGCAGTCTGCAACCAAAATTCAGCAGGAACTAGTACCCTCAGGCATGTAGCTACAATTAAAGTAATTCTCTCAGCAATTCAAGTGAGCTTGGAGGTAAATCCTCTGCCAGTCAAGCATCTAAAGTCTGACATCTTGGTTGCAGGCTTATGAGATGCTAAGCAGAAGACTGAAGCAAATCGTGCCCAGACTCTTCACTCACAGAAACTGTGAGATCATAACTATGTCTTAAGGCACCATTTGTAGTCATTTGTAGGACAGATATAGAAAACTAATACACATACTGTTTGTCACACATTTGTATTATTCAATATCTCTCCTAGTATTTTTATTCTGTGTATTTTACTGTTTTTCTACCTGCTTGTCTAAGCAAATTTACATTTTCTTGGATTTAAATCAATTATTTCAATGAAATATTTTCTTTGCATTAAATTTATTTCCTAAAGATATTGTTGAATGATTTTTTAACTTTTACTTCTCAAATAATTTTACCAACATGGTAACACAGCATGACTTCTCATTTCAATGCAACATCCAGTCACCTATATATGTAGCTTACTTTCTGCTCTGCTGATCAGACTTCTAGAGTAATCTAATTTTCTGCTTTGGTGAAAAAGCGAACTAAACAAAATCTCTCCTTCCCAGACAAGCTTTAAAAAAGCACCATTCTTGATGGAATGCAATCAAAAGTTCAACTATTACCCAAGGGGGTGGGAAAGTAACTACATTTTTAGATTTATTCATTCTACGTATGTCACCTTTCATAACAATTTATTACAAAAAGTGACAATGGAAGTAATGGTGCTTGAACATATGCCTTCTTTATAACTTGTATTAAAATCTACCTGAAATAATTGGGACCACAAAAGTCTGTCACTTTTGAAGCCAAACACTGATTATAGTCAAAGTTTTTTTCTTTAATTTTGTGATCTAAAAAATATAGCACAAAATACAAATATGAATTCATTATGTGAGTACATGAAATGATCTAGAAAACATGAATAGGACATAGTAATCACCCTAAGCAAGTTTACAGATTAAGAGAAAAACCATGATACAATGATGGCAAAATATACAGCAAAAGTGGAAGCCTCAAAGAAGCTATGAACAAAATTTTCCAAGAAAAAAAAATCTAATTTATAGATAAAATCATACTATAAAAACATAATAGCAATAAAAGTTGTTAGAGAAACAGGAATACACTCTAAGTAAATTTAAAAATTTTTTCAGTCTAAGAACCATCTTATCTTTTTGCAAAGTAATGGTAAGATCTATATGGTAATGGCACTGTGTGTATCATAAAACTTTAATTGTGGGTGTGTGTGCATGTTTTAATTTCAGGTTTGTAATATACAACTCTTTATTTAAAAAATAATCAATTTTTTTGGTGGACAATAACAATTTAAATTATTTTTAGTAAATTGCCAAAATATGATTTAAAACATTATATTCAGATCATAAAGAGGCATAGATAGTTGATGTACAGTAATTATCAGTAATATCTACCACTATTATCTATCAATATCCAAGGTCTATTTTAACTGATAAAATTGTCCCTATTACTAATTAACAAGTATTTCATCCAACTTTACATATGCTTATTAATTAAAATTAAGTTGTTTGCTGGTGATATTTATTTATTTTCTAAAAGGTTTATTAGAATCATGGTTTGTTTTTATTTTAAATAACATTATACAGACTATTTTAAAAGTTATTTAAAACTAGAGGGCTGGTGCACCGAATTCATGCATGAGGGGGGTGGTCCTTCAGCCCTGCTTGCACCCTCTCACAAACCAGGACCTCTGGTTCCTAACCGCTTGCCTGCTGGCTGGCTTGATTACCTCTAACCACCCAGCTTCCCTGCCTGCCTCATCACCCCTAACCACTCTGCCTGCCTGCCTGATCACCCCTAACTGCTTGCCTACCTGATCGCCCCTAAATGCCTCTGCCTGCCTGCCTGATTGCCCCTCATATTACACTTTTATTATTATAGACTAGAAGCTGGTGCACAAAAATTTGTGCACTGGCAGTGGGGGGAGTCTCTCAGCCCAACCTGTGCCCTCTCACAGTCTGGGACCCCTCAGAAGATAACCACCTGCTGGCTTAGGCCTGCTCCCCTGGTGGCAGATTGCACCCCCAATCCCTCAATGCCTGCCCTGTGTCCCCCAGGCCGCACACAGCAGGCCTGGATCCCACGCCTGGGCAGGCGGCAGCTGGGGTTTGCACTGCCACCTGTGCAGGGCGGCACAGCGGGATCTGCCTGCAGTATGCAAATTTAACGGCCATCTTTGTTGGGTTAATTTGCATACTCTTCTGATTGGCTGATGAGCGTAGCAAAGGTACAGTCAATTAGCATCTTTGTCTTTTATTAGTGTAGATAGTTGCCTTTTTCCAATCTGTAAGGACCTGCTTGTCATAGAGATAGAAAAGTTTTAATTTTTACTCTTTTTTTTTAATATATTTTTTATTGATTAAGATATTACATATGTGTCCTTGTCCCCACGTTACCCTCTACCCCCCCACCCCCCGCTCATGCCCTCACCCCACCGTTGTCCATGTCCATTGATTAGGCCTATATGCTTGCATATAAGTCCTTTGGTTGATCTTTCCCCCTTACCCCCACCCTCCCCTACCTTCCCTCCAAGTCCCGACAGTCCAATCAATGCCTCTCCATCTCTGGATCAGTCCTTGTTCATCAGCTTATGTTGTTCATTATATTCCACAAATGAGTGAGATCATGTGGTATTTATCCGCTCTCCAGTTCCATCCATGCTGTGGCAAATGGTAAGAGTTCCTTTTTCTTCTTCCTCTTCTTAAAGAATACCTTTCAGCATTTCATATAATGCTGGTTTGGTGGTGATGAACTCCTTTAGCTTTTTCTTATCCGTGAAGCTCTTTCTCTGACCTTCTATTCTGAATGATAGCTTTGCTGGATAAAGTAATCTTGGTTGCAGGTTCTTGCTATTCATTACTTTGAATATTTTTTGCCAGTCTCTTCTGGCCTGCATGGTTTCTGTTGAGAAATCAGCTGACAGTCGTATGGGTACTCCCTTGTAGGTAACTGACTGTCTTTCTCTTGCTGCTTTTAAGATTCTCTCTTTATCTTTTGCTCTTGGCATTTTAATTATGATGTGTCTTGGTGTGGTCCTCCTTGGATTCCTTTTGTTTGGGGTTCTCTGCGCTTCCTGGACTTGTAAGTCCATTTCTTTCACCAGGTAGGGGAAGTTTTCTGTCATTATTTCTTCAAAAAGGTTTTCAATATCTTGCCCTCTCTCTCCTTCTGGTACCCCTATAATTCTGATGTTGGTACGCTTGAAGTTGTCCCAGAGGTTCCTTACACTATCTTCATATTTTTGGAATCTCTTTTCTTTTTTCTTTTTCGGTTGGGTATTTTTTGTTTCTTTGTATTTCAAATCTTTGACTTGATTCTTGGGATCCTCTTGTCTGCTGCTGGATCTCTGTAAATTATTCTTTATTTCAGTCAGTGTATGCTTAATTTCTAGTTGGTCCTTTTTCATGTCCTCCATGGTCTCACTATACTTATTGAGGGATTCATTAAATTTATCGACGGTTTCCATAAAATTCTTGAAAAACCTTATAAACGTGGCCTTGAACTCTATATCCAATCGTTTGCTTTCCTCCATTTCTGCCATTTGTGACCTGTTTCTTTGTCTCCGCATTTTGGCAGCTTCCCTGTGTTGATAAAGTGGCCCTGTGCGCCAGGTGTCCTGTAGGGCCCAGTAGCTCAGCCTCCCCAGTTACCTGGGGTGGACACTCTTGGTGCACTCTTGGTGCCTTGGTTGTTGTAGAATCACTGGGAGGAATTGACCTCCAGGCCAATTGGCTGTGAGAATCAGCTGTGTCTAAAGTGGGAGAACTTCTGTGCTGAAGACACCCTTCTGGGGCAAGACTTGCTTCAGTGGGGCTTTGGTGCTCACTGAGTCTGCTCCCTGAGTGTGTCCCTTATGGATCTGAGGAGTTGCAATCTGGGTGGTCCCCCTCTGACCACTGGGTACAGTGGCTCCTGGATCTAAGGAGGTGCTAATTCAGCCTCTGCCTGAGGCCACACAGCAGGAGCCACGAAGAGGCTCAGCTGTGAAGCAATGCAAGCCGCTGCGGGGCCTTGGGCCTTCTCTTGGAAGTTCTGGGTCTGCCTGGTTCGGCTGCAGTTAGGTACATTCACATGCAAAAGCCTCTGCCGCAGCCTGGGTGGGGCGGGGTCTCAGGGAGTCAAAGGGCAGAGAAAGCAGCTATGGCCGATTCTCCGCCCGGAGTCGCGCGTCTCAGTGTCCCGGTAACGGCTGCAAGCACCTCTGAGGGAAAGCCGCCCTCAAGTTCGCCCGCTGCCGGACAGACCAGCCTCTCCCTGTATGAGTCCTGGGTCCCCAGAGACTTCCCAGAACCGGAGTTCAGAGCAATCGGGAGCTTGTGATTCAAAAAGACAGCCGCGTCCTCAGGCGCCATCCCCCTTCTTCGCGCGCGAGCCGCCGTACCTCTG